TAATTTGAGTGTGGTTCCAGCCTTCTGGCATGATTGCAGTATCAAAGAAGCGCATTATCTCCTGAGTAACAATTGGACCTACAGTGCTCCAGTACCTTTGATAAAAAAGCTCCGGTAAGGCCATTTTCCCCTGGAGCGCTGCCGCCATCAACACTAAAAGCTGCTTTCTTAATCTCTTCAGATGAGATTTGAGCAGTCAAAGCAGTGTTTATCTCATCAGTAATACTGCCTTGGAAAACCATGAAGAGCGAGTCTAAGTCAAATGGATTAGAACTTAGGAACAACTCTCTGAAATACTCGACAGCAATGTTGCCCTTGGAGCCCTCCGAAAAGTGCTCATTGCCTAAGTCATCAAGCAGCATTAGGATTTTATTCCTCACATTCCGACCCTTCACCACATTATGGAAATACTTCGTGTTCCTATCCCCTTCCTTCAACCATTCTTCACGACGTTGTCGACAAAAACATTCCTCCTCGTGAAGTGCTTCCTCTAACTGCTTTTTATTTCTTTTCATTACATCCCTAGCCGGTTCTATCTTCGCAACTTCCACTTCATAAGCAGCTTGTAAGCGCAGTATTTTCTCGTGTGAGTTAAGGTTGGAACTCTTCTTTCACTTAGAGATTTCTCTGCGACACTTCACTATTCTGTCCATCAAACAGACCTCATCCCCTGGCTCTCCCCACCCCTGCGCTATGTTTTCTTCAAAACCTGGCTAAGAAAACATTCTACTATCCATAGAAAATCTCCCCCAGTGAGTTTCTCTCTGTTCTAGAGCAAAACCGATCAATAAATGTCGATGATCAGAGCCCCACATGCCACCATACTCAACACTGGAACGAGGAAATAAGTTAAACCATTCGTCGTTCCCAAAACATCTATCAAGACGGCATTGAACCCACACACCGTCACGCCAACGGCTCCAAAATAAAACATTCCTGGAGCTACGCAACTCTCTAATTTTGCAACTCGAGACCAAGTTTCTAAATCCCCAAAACGTTGAATCCTCTCGAACTGGTCCCCCCCCCCCCAGATTATCCTCATTCGACAGAAGCTCATTAAAGTCACCAGTGACCAACCAAGGCTCATCTCTTCTCAGACTGATATCCACTAGTCGATCCCACACATCTTGTCTTCTCCCACTAACGGGGTCACCATACACACAGGACAAGAAAAAAATAACGAACCACACTTGACCTTCATATCAATAAACCTTTTGTCCCCTGAAAGAATCTCCACTTCGTAACCGTTCTTCCAAAAAACCGCTAAACCCCCACTCAAACCCAGAGGCTTCACAGTGTTAACTTTATCGTAACCCAAACTCTTTTGTAACTTCGAAATGTAACTGAATTTTTGTTTAGTCTCCATCAAAAACATAATATCCGGGAAATATTTGCGTCTAATTTCCCAAATAATCTTAACTGTCTCAGTGCTATCTGCACCTCGACAGTTCCAGCACCACACACTCATTGGGGCGGCAGCAGCTTCAAACCGGAAGCCACCGAAATAGATGAAGAATGAGTAGGTTTCCTGGACGGGGATAAGCACAAGTCGTCAGGTTTACGTTTCACACCATTTTCCTTGAGATTTAACGCATCCTGATGACCTGAGATAGCACTAGAATTAGATTTCCCTGCTTGAGCCTTGCACGTCCACGATAGAGGTCTACGACGTGCTCGCTTGGCTCCTCTACCATCACCGGCAGGAGAATCCGCAGAGGATCCTACCTGAAAGCCCGTAGTGACAGCAGGAAGTGAGCCACCAGCATTTGCGGAGAGAGCAGAGGTAGTATCCTCACCATCATCAACTCGTTTAGGAGCTGGCAGAGACAGTGTATCAGGGAAGTCCAAAGGGTTTGTCTCACCTTGATTAGTGTCAAGATAAGAGAAGACATGTCCTTTGCCTTTGTCTAGGTTTGAAGTAAGCCTTATAAGTGTAGCGCTATGAGAATTTCCTTGATCAGCTATCGCCTGCCTCACCCTTAGGACTCTTGCTTGACGTTTAATGTCATTAGAATGAGACACATATAACAGAGCCATTTTCTGTTCCTGTGAAGATAGCTCTGGAAACAGGGGAGGAAATCCTGGTGGGCCTACAACCATATTGTTACGGTGACTTTTCTCTCCTTCCTCAATAATCTTCTCTTGGTTGAAAACACAGTCCTTAGTGCTCTGCTTCACTCCATTGTACCCTTTTTTCATGTAAGGGCATCCAAGTCTTTCATGAGTGAGCCGTAGACAATGAAAACACTTTTTATGGATACGTTCATACTCAAATTCAATGGTAACAGCCTCCCCCTTCTTTACAGTAAGCTTTCGAGAAGATTTCGCTGGATTTTCCATATCAAAGGAGATCTGTGCTCTGATGTAATCCTTGGTATGAGAAATTTTTGGATCATAAGCGGTCTCCACCACTTTCCCAACTTCTGAAGCAAGCGCGTACATGGTATCAGTGGTAAAGAATTCCATCGGGATGTTCCTGATACGGATCCAAAGGTCCATCGATCTGAGGAAATCATCAGGAGGATCAGCCGTCCATCTCTCTAGAACCATCGCCCAGTGATTGTAAGACCATGGTCTGTCTTTAAGGACAGTTTGGAGGTCCTCTTCTCTTTGAAAAAAAAACTGAAACCTGTCTCAAGATAGAGCAATGCCTCTGACTCTACCATAGACACGCCAATCCGTGGACATGTACTCAATCATCTGCACCATAGATTGACAATCTGGGTTCAAAAGTCTACCCAAGATACTTGTCGAGTTTTCATCAAAAACCCTGAATCTTGGACTGTCAGGAAGAGTGAGAGGTTCTTCTTTAAAATTCATTGCCATTTTGTGTAGAAGGGAATTGATCCCGGGATACCCACAATACCCCATACCCCATTCGACCACTTTGCCAGTATGATTTATTTCTTCCCCAATTTCTATGCATACAAAAAATGCAAGTAATCGGAGTTAAAGAAGTTTTAGCTCAATTCCAAAACAAACAAAAGAAATCATTTTGTAGTATATTATATTTATACAAATAAAAACTAAAGAGTAAAGAAAAATCTATATATAAATTTTTTTGAAGAGACTCTTATGTCAAGGATACAATATTTAGATATCAAATAAAAGTTCTTACCTCTTTTATTCCTGGCTTTCGCGTTTATTTGCAATGAGTTACCGTCTGAACTCTATCTTTCTCTGAAGCTGCGAACAGAACAGTAATAAAGTAATGGTGTAAGAGGTTGCTAGTCGTCCACATGCAATGCTTTCTCTTATCAATCTTATGACCCTCGCCTCTTTGGCTGAAAGGTTTCGGAAGCCTCACGAGAAGCGATTGCACGATCCTGAAAGTCAGAAGAAACAATGCAGTAAAGATTTGAAAAATGTACTAGAATGAAGCTAATGCCCTATTTCAGAAGTAAACCAAGTCAGTTAGGAAACATTTTAGTGGGTCCGCAAGAAACTCATTTAATCAAATACAATTCAGTTTATATTTTAATTTACAGAACATATTAATATTGTATGAAGAATGTACTTTGTTTATTTTAATTGATGATTATAATTTATGAAAGGTAATACATTAATCTAAGGTTTGCCCTAAAATATATATACAATTTATTTTAGTAAAGCTATATTGTTTTTTCTTTTTCTTCTTTTTCTTCTTTGTACAACTATGAGGTTCTAAGTTGTGGATCCGTTTAGGATGAAGCACAAATCATGTATTTTAAACATGTTATTACTAGATATTTTCAACTCATCATTTCGTTGGCCAGCTACATTGTTTCGTTAGGCTGTACTTCTAAACATTGCTGTGAAACATCCCACTCTTAGCACATCAGAATACAGCTTTCACAATTTTGATTTAGAATGTTGAAGAATTGACATATGATTGATTGTATTATAGTAACTAAACTTATGTTGATGATGGTATAGCTCTATCACTACCAGTGGCCGAACCACCTTTGCGCCAAGGTGGTCAAGTTACCCATATGGAAGAAGTACGATTCAACCTCAACCGGTTTGCTTGCTTTAATCAATTTCAATTATTGTGGATAACCAATTCATACTTTTGGTTTGGTTTAACTTTAGCCGGTTCGCTCTCTGTATTAAATTTTAAATTTTAATTAATGTGGTTAACCGATTCATGTTCTTGATTAATTCTGAATGGCTATGTGGCAACTTCCTTTGTGGTTACGTGTATGTTCCAAGTCTAGTCCATCTTCCATGATAAGTGAAAGAGAGTTTGTTTCATTTTCTATAAGCTTTGGTTTTAATTTTTTTTTTTTATCCTTTGCAATTTAAAGATGTTACTGAAATTGACATTGGTTTCCAATCTTGAGCGGGTTTCCAAGGGTGGACAGGAGCACATGAATCCACCTACTATTTTCTGTATTTTTTCATATTTTTCCAAGGTAAAATTACATAATTTAATCATGTAACTGTACAAAAGAACTCAATTCAGTTCACCCGGTAAATGTCTTTCATTACCTTATGTACCCACTCACTATTATTAAGCCTCTGTGGTCCATAGTTGTATATATTTTAGCAAAACGTATGATACATATAATTTTCATTTTTTGCAAATGATGGGAGATAGAATTTCGCTGTCAATCTGAAAACAAACAAAATTAAATCAATTACAGTAGTTTATCGTTGTTAAGTCAAAGGAAAATCATCTTTTTCTACTCTCCTTTCATGTTATATGTTATGTTGGTTGACACATCAAGTCATAGCTTTCTATCTATTACTTCGCATTTCTAAAAATCTGTATATTATATTGGTTTGAACATATAGTAATGACCACCCATCAAGTTATTAAACAATCATAAACACACACCCTCAGCAACCTACCTAATATCTATCACAAAACTGCCAACTACCAGCTGGGATTGACCATATGGTATGAACCACTACAGAGATTGTTATATATATAGAGAGTCTTCTTCCTTCTTGCTGATCATTCTGAGGAAAATAATTTCTATCCCAGAAACGACTATAATCTTTCTAAGCTTACGATCATGGCTTCTTTTTCAACGCTTCCACACGATTTGATAAAAGAAATACTTTACAAGAGTCCGGCAGAATCTCTGGTCCGATTAAGGCTGACATGCAAGCAGTTGCGCGGTCTTATCAACAAAGACAGTTTCATCTACGAGTACATGGATCGTTCCCCCGTAAAATTCCTAAGAATTGATCAGACAGTACAAATCATGGATCCAGTGACAAGAACACGCTCAGAGATACCAATCCCAGACGAGTTCCAACCTCTGGATAATATTATAGCTATGTTTCATTGCGATGGACTCATGCTGTGTAGGTGTAGTTTCCTGATGCCATCAGAACTCGAGAAACTCGCACTTTGGAATCCCCTCACGAGGAAAGTAAGCTGGGTCGACGAGCCCTCTCAAAAACCGTTCTGGACTTTTGATTACTACGGGATCGGATACGTCCTTAACGAGCCTCCTCTACGTGATTACAAGATCTTGAAGTTTTCAGTTGAACGCAGTGGTGAAGTAGAGGTCCATATATACGAGTGCATGTCAAAGTCGTGGAGAACTCTTTTTGATGATACCAAGGTTGATTGGAAAGTAGTTCCCCGGTGCAATGGTGTGGCTGTCAAAGGGAACCTGTATTGGCTTGCTAAGAAGAATAGTAGAAACTTCATTTTAGGTTTTGATTTCTCCGATGAGACATTCAAGGACATATGTTTTTGTCATCTCCCTTATTACAATAACTACCTAAGCTGCTACGAAGGGGATAAATTGTCTTTACTAGAACAAAACAGATTAGTACTAAGTCCGATCGAGGTGTGGGTTTCTAGCAAGTTGGCTGATGGTAATGTCTCGTTTATACAATATCTCAGGGTGGACAGCCCTGATCTTCCTTTGTTACGGTTCTTTACATATTTCAGTACATATAAGCCTCATCCGGTATACTGCATTGACAAAGACAAACTTATCATCGCATGTTATGAGGGAGATCAGGCACATGAAGGTCCTATTCTTTCTACTTCCATTACTCTTTGCGAAATTGATAAGGACAGTGGGGTAATTAGTAAAGAAATTGTGACTGTGCCACCCTACTGGAATTTCTCTGCTGAGCTCTTCCGTCCTTATGGCTACATCTACGTTCCAAGTCTGGTCTGTTTTCCAGTATAAGAGGGTTGTTTCGAGTTCTGTGCTTTGTCTTTATTTATGTTCATCTGCTGGGTTATGCCTTTTGGTTTTAATTTTATTATCTCAATTTATGTTAACCGGTTAGTTGGTTTATCGGTTTATTAAAGACTATTTATAAGCGTGTGTACCCCATTGGGGAATATGAATGAATCAAATACAACTTTATATCTTCTTTCCCTAAGTTTTCTTCCATATCATTGTCATCTATCCATATGTCTAGAAATCAACTATGATTATTGTGTAGATGTTACTTGACATTGTTTTTATGTTTAAATCTCGACATGCTTTAGGTTATGGTTCATTCTTGTATTATGTGTGTATATCAGTCATCTTTGTTGTTCAACAAAACTAAGTTACATGCCATAAAGAAATGCAATTGTTGTTCATTTAACTGAATGATAAATTCTATTTATAAATGCAAAAAGTAAAGATATATCTACAGATTGCATAAGGAGACAAAGCACTGTGGTTGTAACTTGTAACATACACTGAAAATGAATAACAATGACCAACAACACTAACACATTATATACTTTTAGTTAAAATAATAAAATTAAAAAGGAAGATTCTGATTTTCTACTGGTGTATCTGAGAGCAGCAACGAAGCTAAAAAGGAAAAAGCTAAGGAGGAGAAGGAATGAAGCAAACGAAATGACAACGTTTAGAGTTTAAAATGATGCGTGAGGAGTGAAACTAGTGGAACAAAGGATCAAAGCATTTGTCTTCGGAAGCTCAGAGCAAGGCAAAGTAGGGTCCATTTGTGGAGGGAAAGATAACATAACCGTTCAGGCAGGTTTTTGAGGTCATGCCATGTGGACAGTTAGAGCATGTTTATCCCATGAATCTTAATTGAGTTTCTTAATGATTGTTTAATTATATAAATATACTTAGTGGGCTTAAGAATTCTAGTTAAGAAATTCTCGTTTTAAGTGGTTTAATGGAAGTTTCTTAATATGGGTTCTTTAAAAAAAAGATTGTTTTGGTTTTATGAAAGGAGAAGGAGAGAATGACATCCAACCAAGAAGGTAGTGGTCATAGCAAGGAGAAGAAGACAAACCAAATGCCTGGTTGGAGAGTGAGACAATCTGAGTCACTATGAACAATGAGGTTAGAATGTTCAACAGAAATTCGTGGGTGAGTCATGGATATAGTGTTCAACGCTCCATCATTGTCCTGCCAATCTTCATCTCTGCAAAAAATAACATTATTTTGGTGTTGTTAAACCTAGTGCAAATTAAATCAAGGAACCTGCTGCAGGAGGAGGCAAAAGGAAACAACACAATGACTAAGAAGCGCAAGGACATGATCAAAAGGAGATGCTTAGTCACAGTTAACAATTACTTTAACACCATTACAGAACAAGAACATGAACATTTTAACATGAACTTAAACTCAAACAAAACAAGAACATGAACATTTTCTCATTGTTTCTTTTCTAGCAAGTAAATGATCATGCCAGTTATTTAACGAGATATTAGTAGTGAATAACAGAGTTGCTAGCACCAGAATTATTAACATGAAAACATAAAGATAACAGAACGACAACAACAAGAAATTCCACTACAACTTAACTCTATTACAAAACAACATCACACAAGAAACTTGAACAGAGACAAGTACAACATCAAATGATTTTACAGAATCGACCAGCCAAAAAATAATAATTAAGAGAGGAAGAAACACAAAACAAGAACAGACGCATGTCAATTTACCATTGTCTGGGAGAGATCCGAGAAGATAGTAACACAACTCTAAGATAGTAACACAACTCTTCAACGTTGGATGATATCTCGATCAATTTGGGCGAGGATTATATCTCGGCCATGGGAAGCACATGCCCCTTCTTCTTCTCCGACGGCTTCTCAAACGATCCATAGATCCACCAAGGGATCCCCTTGACAGCCCCAAGGCAATTGTAACCGACGGCAAGTTCCTGCCTATTCCTCCGCCGCCTCCTTCTCAACTCCCCCTACGGAATCAGAGGAGCGTGAGAGGAGCCCCGACGAAGTCTTCTTCCGAGAAGTCTCCATCGTCTATGGTGGTGTTCGACCGCTGGGCGAGAGAGGAAGGTCTGCAGACCACGACGAGGAAGGTTGGAGGTGGAGAATCGGAGGAGACGTCGAGTGGACACGTGGTTGGAAATCAAGCTAAGGATCAGTTTCCAAAATCTCTAGTTAAGGATCGATAATTACCTTTTTGTTTTGTTTTGATTTATTTAAATGGATTATTTACTTTAAAACCCCACTTAAGATGCTGCGATAAACATGGTCTTAGACAATCTTGTTGCCACGTACCCGGTGGTGGAGCTTCCGTTGATTACCAATCTGTGGGAACTCTTCGACAAAATGTAAACCAAACCAAAGTGGAGGAGTAGGCAAAAAATTCTTAACAATGAAACTAGCAAAACAAACATAAAAAAAAAATGATACACCAGTAGTGATCCAAAGTAAACTAACACATCTTTGCGTATGGATAACTAAAGATTTTCATGTAAAAGCTCCAAAATTTCTACTAGAATATTTGAATCCTAATAGAGATAATCTTCGTCTTAATCTAGAAACACCAAGCTCCAGACTTAGTTGAGAACGATTACTTCACTCTTTTTATTACTCCAGTAGAAGCCAATGAGAGAAGAAAACTCTTTATATTGCTCTGATAATAACAGAGTCAAGGAGATTACCGCGTTCCATAGAATTTTATGCTGACTTTCGAAGTAATCATAGTTTGCAACAAGAACTCCATCACCATTAAGTGAAGAACCATCAACGATTAAAGCCGATAAGACCCGTCGCCACCATCCGCAGTAGATCTAGAAAAGATTAATTTGAACCAAAGTTTTTATTTTCCAAATCCACTAGAAGAATCATAGAAATGAACAATCTAAAACTTTGCCAGATTCAAAATAAATTGGCAAACAAACAAATCAAATAACAAGAAAGAAAGCAAATCAAAGAGATAAAAGTAAAACAAATTAAACAAGCAGATGAATAAACTTAGCCAACTTATTTTGCTCAGCTAATGAAGACTTTTTACAAAAATTGACGACCACATTAAACCGAAGAATAACTGAAGTTAAATTTAGTGAAATCAAAGTTATGAGACCGGTTCCTTTTTCTAATATATGGGCTTAAGTTACCTTTAATTGTGGAATGGGTCTAGATTGCTTTCAGGGTATACACTTGGGTCTTCTGATTGAATCCAGCTAGATTCTTTTTTGATTCGGTTAAGAATACTATTTCTCTGTGCACTATTCATCGTATGATCCAGAATCATCTTCTCTCCTTTCGATTTGTTAGTAGAAACACCTACAGATTTTCAAATTCAAAGACATCTAAACAGAATCAAACCCTAACAATCGATAAAGAATAACGATGTACCCTGAGATTCCAAGCAATTAGCTGAGATTACTGAGATCAGTACAAAACCATATGAGATCCGATTCAACGAAACACAGAGAATTTGACAAGACAGTAACTAACATCGAACCTTCAACGGCGTGATCGTCGAATTTAAGCACCGCCGTTCGCACCATCGTGAGAAGGCGGAGTAGAAACCCTAACGTCTCTTCGTGTCGCCTCTATGGGATCAGAGTTGAATTCCAGAGGGAACAAAATTTATTAGATTGGTTTACGCGAGTGTCACCTGTAGATCATAAAATCCACACTGAGTATTTTGTAGTGATCGAGAGTTTAACAGGGGAAGACAAATGATGTGGGCAACGATGCTCTTAAATACAACGATACAATCGGAATTCAGTTAAAAAATGGGCTTTTATTGAATATGGAAATCGTTTACAAGGTGATGAACAAGATCGAAAACAACAAGGAAAAGTAGAAGTAATGAGTGAACTAGAAATCTATGGAGTGAGGTTGATGTGATTAGTAAATAGCTCTAGGGTTTTCCCCATGTTTATATGCTCCATCCCAGCTCCTTTTTGTAGCCTTCTTCTCCTCTAATTGTTTCTGCGATCTTCGGGGTTCCACCTCGACCTCGCGTTAATGGGCTTGATTTTGGGTCCAACATTTGCCTCCCAGCCTTTTTAGTTTTGAGAAACTGAAGAGAGTTGCTTTAATCAACCGTCCGTCGTCGCGTATCTTGGGGAGCATGGTGCCACGTGTATCGCTCTTGTCAGCCACTTCCTTCCATCGTGCGGCTGAGATTGATGGTCGACGTCATCTGCTTTGGGAACCGCTTTCGGATCTCTATTAAACAGGTCGTCTTCTTCGTTGAGGAGATCAATTTTCTCGCGATTGCTTCAGATCTTTTTCTTCTCTTGTTTTGTTTTTAGTTCTCGATACTCCAATGGCAAACGAGATATTTGGTCCTCATCTTTGTTGGTGTCAAAATCGGTCACAACGGAATCAATGGCAAAAAGTCTCCGCAGAAAATATAAAAGAAATCGTTTTATAAAACTCGAGAATCGTTTTATAAAACTCAAGAATCGTTTCATAAAACTCGAAGAATCGTTTTATAAAACCCGAGAATCGTTTTATAAAACTCGAAGAATCGTTTTATAAATCTCAAGAATCATTTTATAAAACTCGAAGAATCGTTTTATAAAACTCGAAGAATCGTTTTATAAAACTCGAGAATCGTTTTATAAAACTCAAGAATCATTTTATAAAACTCGAAGAATCGTTTTATAAAACTCGAAGAATCGTTTTATAAAACTAGAGAATCGTTTTATAAAACTCGAGAATCGTTTTATAAAACTCGAGAATCGTTTTATAAAACTCGAGAATCGTTTTATAAAACTCGAAGAATCGTTTTATAAAACTCGAGAATCGTTTTATAAAACTCGAAGAATCGTTTTATAAGACTTGAGAATCGTCTTATAAAACTCGAGAATCGTTTTATAAGACTTGAGAATCGTTTTATAAAACTAGAGAATCGTTTTATAAAACTCGAGAATCATTTTATTAAGACTCGAGAATCGTTTTATAAAACTCGAAGATCGTTTTATAAAACTCGAAGAATCGTTT